TAACATATTTAATTTAAAAAAAATCCAAATATTTTTGGGATTCAATATAAAAACAGATAAATAAATTCTCAATTTTTGGATTATTATAAAAATTAATGAATAAATTAAATTCCAAAATTTTAAGATTATAGTATAAATAGATTAATATCCCAAATCTTTGGATGATGAAGTAAAAATGTAATATAAGGTGTAATAAATTTTTTTGAGAATATTTATTATTGATAGTCATAATTATTTCACACCAGGATGATAGAATGTTATAAATAAATAAATATTTATTTATTTTAATGTTTGTAGTGACAAAAATAGGATAAGGCTATTCCGCAGAGTATTTATTTATTTAAAGATAATAGTGTCTAACTAGTGAATCGCTGCGGATAACTTATGGCTATGAAAGTCTTCAAATAACAATAGTAATCTTTGTATGAAAATGAAATAAAAATGATGCAGTTATTAAGCAACATTCCTGGAGTAATAAGAGTTAGAGAATGTGAATGTGATGGCTGCATTATGATGGATTATGCAAAATAGGGAAACCTGCTACAATATTTAAAGTTATAGAAATTCACTGAAGAATTTTCAAGACATTATTTTAAGTAAATAATCTAAAGTAAAGATACATTAAATGATAGTAATTTCTGAAATTCACAAAAAAGGTGTGGCTCATAGAGATCTAAAATTAGAAAACATATTATTAGATGATAATTTCAACATCCTTATTTGTGACTTCGGATATGCAATTAAGTTTATGGATGCTTAAGGAAAAAGAATTAAGATTAATAAGTATATTATCTACTTAAATTTAGTTATGTTGGATCTCCTTCAACAGCAGCTCCTGAAATATTCCTTTAATAGCCTTATCATGGAATTGAAGCTGACTTATTTTAATTAGGAGTTATTTTATTTTAAATTACTTCTGGTTTCTGTCCATTTTAGACAGCCAACATAAAATCAGATTAAGTATATTAATTAATTTACAGGTATTATCTTATTAATCTTCTTTTTAGGAAATAACATAATAAATTTTGGGAAATTTAGTAAGTTGATTTTAGTCCTGAATTGAAAGATCTAATCATAAAATTGCTAGCATTTAACCCTAATTAAAGATTATCTGTAAAAAATAATATTTATGTCATTAGATTTCAGAAATTTAAACACATCCTTGGATACTAAAATCTGGGGTTGATGATTCACTAATTGTTCATGAAATGAGCAATAGATATCAACAGATACTTTAAATTTCACAAAATTAAGAATAATGAAATAATATTTTTTTACTTTATTGAAATTAACATTTTAATATAATTATATAAATAAAAGTCAATATGAATCCTATTTCTAATTTTTTAATCTTTCTAATTCCTTATCTGAAACAATATATTCAGTAGTAAATATATCTAAGAATTCTAAGAATTCAACATAGTTGTGTTGTCTCTCGTAAATTTCATTTAATTTTCCCGTATTCAACTGATTTTTATATAGAACTATATAGGGCAAGCTTTTTTTTAATTATTCTCTTGATATATATAAAGATGGATATTCTAATTAATGTGTTGTAAAGTAATTCAGATTATCTGAATCCATAAGTGCCTTAAATAAAGAAAGATAATGCATAACATCCTATCTGTTGACTTTTTTTTCTAAAACTATTTATTCAATATTAATCAATTTCATAATTTCTTTAAATTTTTTATTATCTTTTGAAGAGAAGCTTGAAAATGGATCATTATTTAATTCTATTTTTTTTGGCAACTTTTTATAAATTGCATTCTTGAACACATCAACTTTATCTTCAGCATCTTCTTTTATTTCATCTATTGATTAAGTGCTTTCATGCAATAGTTTTCTTTCAATTTAAGCCTCTTCATTCAGATCCAGCATTTACTTTTACTATATTAATGTTATAAAGAATAAAATACCCCTTTTAATTTAATTTCTATTGATTTTCTTCTCATTACCTTAATATTCTCTTTTCTTTGTCTCATTCCAGCTTCTTAATTAGCTAAGTGTTAAGAGTATTTTGTTTTATTTTATTATATAAAGTACTATATCGTTTTTAAATATGTTTTTTGTTAATTCTTATTCATCTGAAAAATTGATTAATCAATAACTTCATCATTTAATTATTCATCATCTCCATCTTATTAAATTGTTTCAATATTTTTGTTAATAGGTGATTTTACAACTTCTTCAACTTAATCATAACCCATAGAATAAAAAGGTAGAAAATTATCTCTTTTATTAAAGAATTTCAAAATATCATCTTTAGATCTTAAATCAACCATTTTTGTAGCTAATTTTACATATTTATCAAGCTAAAATTACCCTCCTAAATTTAAAGTTTATCCTACTCTATTCCAAATATCAAATTCTCCCTAAAATCTTTTATAAATTAATTTACATATAAGTTGCAATAAATAAATTTTTCATATGATAGTATCTAGTTTAATGTTTGAAGTTCCTTTCCATCTAAAAAATAAAACTTTACAGTATTGGAATGCTGTTTATAGTGTAATAAATCTAAAAAGTGCTTTGTCCAAACATTGTAGTTTTCTGTGAGTTCAGTGGTATTATTAATTTTTTCGTAAATTGGAATAAAATAAACTAAAGCATTTAGTTATTATGATATGGGACTAATAGATTTTTAATTTGTAATATACCTATTTTTTACTTCAACTTATGAACTTTTTAAAACAAGGGTTTGATGAGGAAGGTACATTAGTATAAATATTCTCTTAGTTCCTCTTTTAAAATTAACACCTTATTCTACAATTTTCAATTATAGAAACTAATTAATCATATCTGGCTTCCAATAACTGTTAAATCTTTCTAAATGATGAATTTCTTTTTGAACTTCATGAGCAATATTCATTCTGTTAACTTTATCGACTTTTTACCAAGATGCTTCATTGAAGTTTGGACTAAATTATCAAGAAATGTACCTAAGTTTACGAAACTTTAAAATAGAATCATTTGAAAACGATTCTGTATTATTATCGAAAATTAATGAGGAAAGATCAGTTCTAATTGGTTAATTACTAATATAACTTTGTTATTATGAATAGAATTTAAGTGGAGATTTGCTATTATTTTTAGTTACTTTCTTGTGCTCTAAATCGATAATAGGTTATGAATTAGAAATTTCATCGCTTATTAAGGAGAGTTAATGTTATCTATATTTCTTGATGTCTTCTTTAGTTCTTTAAAGTATGTTAGGAAATACAATTTTTTTGATGTTTCTTTAGTAATTAAGTATTTCTTATTGGGTTTTGGATGGAGAAGTGACTTTGATTATTTTAGGTTGGGATAATGAATGATGCGATTATTTGATAATGGGTAGTCTTGAATAGAGTATAAAATTACTTCTCTTGAATGTAAAAATCATCAAGTTAGGATTTGGTGGAGATTTAAAGATCAGTGAAAACAACAGGGAGGTATTCTTTAGTAGTATTATGAGACATAAAAAGGTATTTGGTTTAAGAAATATAAAATAAAAGAAAGTATAATAAAATAAAATAAAATTGATTGAGGAAGGGGATAATATAGTAAAGATAATTGAATATATATATTAATAGAATGAATGATAATTCGTATTAGTAAGATAAAGAGATGATGAGATAATACATCATAAAATTAAATAATTAAAAAAAATTAAATCATATTTCCTAAATCTATAATTTGTATGACGTATAGTACGTATTATTCAAAGAGGATTCATCTTGATAAAGCATCATAATTAAAAATAAAATGATTTAAACCTTCGCTCGACGTGCACTATAACCCCAATTCAGAAGTCTAGCTAGATTTGGTTAGAGTAATGAAGAAGGAGATGTGTCTTTTTTGGAATAAGTGTATTAATACTTTGACAAGGCAGCAGCATTGACAAATATTCCTGTAGATATGCTGAAGTACTAGCCATTAATAAAATAGCTATTATAAGAAGACTGATTGTGTGATAAAATTTCATTTACCTTTAGTGAGAGATGATGGGACAGTTGAATGCGTAATATTATGAAGTTATAGACATATATAGATTCCAGCATTTAGAGCTTAACATAAGACTCACAAATTGCCAACAAAAGGAGGTACAAGATTGAGTGAACATATTCACACAGAGGAAGTGGAGGCATTGTCTTTATTGATGACATTCAAGAATGCAGTTTTAGAATTACCATATGTATTTATAATAAATATAATGTTAGGGAGGTGCAAAAGGAGGTTTGAAGATGAATCCTAAGAAATACTCAAAAAGAGAGATTGAGTCATTGATGAGAAGATTCACTATTGAATTAGCAAAGAGAAATTTCATTGGAGCAGCAATTGATGTTCCAGGACCAGATTTAGGTACAGGTGAAAGAGAAATGAGTTGGATGAAAGTAAAATATTTTATTGATGAAAAAAGGATGAATACACTAAATTTGCTGGACATCTTGATATCAATGCTTAAGGATGTGTAACTGGAAAGGCTATCTCTTAAGGAGGTATTTCAGGAAGAACTGAATCTACAGGATTAGGAGTATTCTATGGATGCAGAGAAATTTTGGAAGATTATGAATTTTGTACATAAGCAGGTATTCCTGCTGGTTTGAGAGGAAAAAGCATCATTATTTAAGGTTATGGAGCTGTAAAATATTATATTTATTTTAGGTTGGTTACTATGCAGCTAAATATATGTGTGCTTATGGTGCCAAATTAGTTGGAGTTGCTGAATGGGACGGATCTATTTATGAGGAAAATGGAATTGACCCAGATGAATTATAGGCTTTTAAAGAATAAAGAAAAGGTGTCAAAGGGTTCCCTAAAGCTTCTGAATACCATGAAGATGAATCTGTTATTTATAAGGAATGTGACATTTTTATTCCTGCTGCTTTTGAATAAACTGTTAATAGAGTATATTTCTTTTTAAACACTTAGACTAATGCAGCTAGATTCAATTGTAAAGTAATTGCTGAAGCTGCCAATGGACCTACTACCCTTGCTGCTGAAGAAATCTTAATCAAAAAGGGTGTCAAATTCCTCCCTGATATCCTACTTAATGCAGGTGGTGTTACTGTCAGTTATTTTGAATGGCTCTAAAATTTAGATCACATTAGGTTTCTATTGATATTTATAATATTCTAGACCAGGAAGAATGACCAGAAGATGGGAAGAAACTTCTAAATATAAATTATTAGAGGCCATTTAAATCTCTACTGGTTTGAGAGTTGATGTTGCCAAAAATCAATAGGCTGCCAAGCTTCTTGAAGGTCCTTCAGCTGTATTCATCTTTTTTTATTCCTTTCTAGAAAGATTTAGTATTCACTGGTTTGGAAGAATCTATGGCAGTTGCTGTCCAAAAAACTAAAGAAACTGCTAGCAAATTAAATATTTCTTTGAGAATGGCTGCCTATTACAATGCACTCATGACAATTCATTAACATGTTGACACAGCTGGTTTAAGATGATAGTATATAATAAATATTATTAAAATTGTGTTCATATATAAAATTTTATTTTGTTTTTTATTCATATCTAATTTTTCGATTTCGAACAATCAAGTCAAATAAATTAAACAACAAAAATATTTTTTGTTGACTCAATAACCAAATTTGCTCAGTTTCGTTAATCTTTTTAGAATATGCTTATTTTTGATAACTTCCATTAAATTAATGAATACATAATTCATATGAATTTATGCTTTTATTAAAGATACTTTTATATCTAATTCGATTTAATATTAATATTTTACACCACATGAACCAACTTTTTACAAATCACCTAATCTTTTCCAATTTATTCCATTAAACTTAGCCATTTACCTAACCCCTTCCCTTTTAAAATCCTCTATAAACTTATTATTCATAATTTTAAGTACCATTCAATTTCGCCCCAATTCACAACTACTAGAGTTAGTAACAATTGCCATTTTAAAGAAATCATGATTAAAGTAATATTCTTACTTATCTTAGTCATTCATACTGAAAACTCAACCAACTCTCAAAAAACGACTCTATCTATACAATATTCTAAAAATAACAATGAATTTCTGGATCCCTCTAATCAAATTCTTTTGAACAAATAAACTCTTCGTGAATACATTCTTTTAATAATTGATGATGACACTCAAATCCATAGAATAACACAAAACCTTAGAGATAACAACCAAACTCAGTTAGCCAAAATTTTAGAAATTTTAGCTATAAAATAGCAATAGCAAATCAAGAGTAGAGAAGAATTAATTAAATTTTGTCTTAGAAAAGCATTTAGGTTTATATTTAAGAGCATATCAGAAAGAAATAATATTTCAAGTATTTTTCTCAACAATCTATTAGAAACTAATTTAAAAACAGCTCGATAAGAATTTTTGAAAATAATCGAACAGGAGATAAAAATTCCATTAATTCTCCCATTTAGAAAGAACAGCAAAAACAAAACAATGAATAATGATTTCCTCAAACAAGTATTTTCATCTCAAATTTTCTAAACTTTTTACAAAGAGTTTTTAGGTACTCCTCTTTCTATATTTTAGATCATTTAGACGATACTATACAAGAAGACAGAAAGAAAAAGATTGACAAACTATAGGACAAAATTTGGTTGAGTTTAAGAGATAATAGAACTGTAATTATATTTTTTACTATTTTAGGCTTCCATTGACATAAAAAGACTACCTTGGTCATTAAAAAACACAGAAAGAGTAAAATCAATAGCATTTGAGTTGTTGACATTTTCATAAAATCATTAAAATTGAAAAAAAAACAATCCCAATATTGATTTAAAAGGTTCTTCTTCATCACATTCACTGTTTGATGAATCGCAATAAAAATAAGTATTAATCAATCAAGCCTTTTTTGTATCATAAACTAACAATTAAATCCAAAAATTCATTTTACAAAAAAATAATTAAATGATATTTAATTAATTATAAGCATGAGTATTTTTTCTTAAAAAATACTATTACTCTATCACAATTTGTAGCATAATCAATCCAGAATTAAAGCTTAGAAAAATAACTGTTATTATCATTAACAAATTTTTTAGATTTTTTCTTTAATAAAATAAATTTATATATTCTAAAAAAAATTTCATATCTACATTTTTAGAATTCAGTAATTAGATCTTACAAATAGAAAGGCTTCTAAATATTGCTCTCCTTTATGAAATTTAATACTCTATAAGTTTTAGAAAAGTTGAAATATAAATATTGATAGAAAAACAATGCCTAGAAAGAATAGTAAGTTATTAAACCCCAAAGCTCGATTGCATTTTAATTCTAATTTATGATAAAACTAAGATCACTTTCTAGATTTAATTTTATATATTATTTAAGTAGTATTATAAAAGAATCTAAAATAATTAAGCACAAACATCAATTAACTATATTGATCTTCATTTTTCTAATGAGAATAATCCAAAATTCATATGAGCAGTAAATCATAAAATTATTTTCTTATTAATTTAACAATAAAAATTTATTATAACGAAAATTCAAAACTTATAAATGAATGGGAAACTTGTAAAATCCTTAATAAATTTGTTCCCTTTTTAACATTAAGATATGATGATCAAATGCGTTTTTGTAATTGGATTTGACAAACTTATTAAAAAGGGATTCATCATAAATGGAAGTCCAAAAATACATGAAATTATTGACTATGCAAGTAAAAAAAGAAATTTAAATTAAGGCAAATTATAACAACATGGGAGATTATAATTAATTCAAGAACCTTGTGATATTAGACATGAATTGGATTAATTGAAAGATGAAATAAGCAAATTAACGCAATAAATCCATTATAATAATTCAATAATGTAATGATTCATGATGTAAAAATTAAGACAGCGTCAGACTTAAAGAAGCCATGATAGACTAGTACAAAATTTATCTCCTGTCTACGATGACAGAAGGAGATCAGCTTCACTTGGATTCAAACAGTAATAATAATTGGTACAAAAAAAATCAAAGGAGATTACACCAAAGATTACCGAGACAACACCTCAAACAATCAATTAAATACATATAACAATCTCTAAACACCATTTAGATGATACAGAGATTAAGTCTGTCATGAGAGACAATTTAATAAAAGATAAACCTCCAAAACCTATAAAAACTATGTAAGATAATCATTAGAAAAAGAATAACTTTATTGATTACTAACATACAGATACTGAAGAGCATTCAGTATTTGATGACACAGAAAGATATCCAATACGGGATCATTAAATTCCACAAATCTTATAATATTCATAACTTTAATAGAGTTAAATAATAATAATAATATTAATAATAATAGTTATAATAATCATAAGTATCATCTTAGTAAAACACAAAGTAAAGTGATCTCAATACACATAATACGCACAATACAAATTAAACATTTGCTTAACCTCAATCAAGTTAAAAATAGCTATTTTAAACCACAAAATCATCTCATGTTCAATAGATTTCACCTAATCGATCTCCTAAATTTAAGTTTTCATAAAAGCAGTAATCCAAGAGGAATTTAGAAACTGTTTAAGAAGAAAACTCATAATCTAATGTAAAGTAACATAGCAGTCATTCCGCTTCCTCAAAAGGGAGAGCATCACATTTATAAACTAAAACATAACAAAATACTTAGGCAGTATCTAAAATCAAGGCATTACTTGATTAGGATAAGAAATAGCATAAATAACATCTACTTGAAATTGCTAGTGAAAGAAATTCTTTCAAGAATTCTTCAGATAAGTTAAAATAAATGCATGAAGGACATCTTGTTGAAAGTAATCATTCTTAAATGAATAGAATGTCTACTTTAGAAATGAATGAATCTATTCAAAAAAGAGCTTTATCTAATAATAGTTTTTACAGATAATAGTAATAACAAATGTCACCATAATTAGATTATGAACCCAGATTAATAGGAACGACGTAATATAATTAATTTCAAGGTTCTCTTTCTATGACGAACTCAAATAAAGGGAGTAATTTTTTGGGAAATCCCTAATTACAGGATAATATATTGATTTATAGCAAATACAAACAATAAGTTTTGGATTAATATTCACCAAAGTTAAATTATCAGTATCGGCCTTCAAGCGTTGGAAAGTAGTAGGAAAGTGAACTTAAGAGATCGGAAGATTTTAATCGAAGTTCTGTAAGCAGTACTTTTTCAATGTTTAATCCAAATGAAGAACTAAAAACATTCTTTTAAAATGATTTTTTGGAGAGGAAGAGATGCACTCAATAAGGATATAATGATATCATGAAATAAGTAAGTTATATATTAATGAATAAATAGTCGTCAATAAATTCATCCTAAGAATACAACTAACATCATAGTAAATACTTAAATGCGAGTTAAATTGAAGATCAATAAAATTATAGTAAAAATTTATATAGTCCTCAATAATNTAATAATAATATTAATAATAATAGTTATAATAATCATAAGTATCATCTTAGTAAAACACAAAGTAAAGTGATCTCAATACACATAATACGCACAATACAAATTAAACATTTGCTTAACCTCAATCAAGTTAAAAATAGCTATTTTAAACCACAAAATCATCTCATGTTCAATAGATTTCACCTAATCGATCTCCTAAATTTAAGTTTTCATAAAAGCAGTAATCCAAGAGGAATTTAGAAACTGTTTAAGAAGAAAACTCATAATCTAATGTAAAGTAACATAGCAGTCATTCCGCTTCCTCAAAAGGGAGAGCATCACATTTATAAACTAAAACATAACAAAATACTTAGGCAGTATCTAAAATCAAGGCATTACTTGATTAGGATAAGAAATAGCATAAATAACATCTACTTGAAATTGCTAGTGAAAGAAATTCTTTCAAGAATTCTTCAGATAAGTTAAAATAAATGCATGAAGGACATCTTGTTGAAAGTAATCATTCTTAAATGAATAGAATGTCTACTTTAGAAATGAATGAATCTATTCAAAAAAGAGCTTTATCTAATAATAGTTTTTACAGATAATAGTAATAACAAATGTCACCATAATTAGATTATGAACCCAGATTAATAGGAACGACGTAATATAATTAATTTCAAGGTTCTCTTTCTATGACGAACTCAAATAAAGGGAGTAATTTTTTGGGAAATCCCTAATTACAGGATAATATATTGATTTATAGCAAATACAAACAATAAGTTTTGGATTAATATTCACCAAAGTTAAATTATCAGTATCGGCCTTCAAGCGTTGGAAAGTAGTAGGAAAGTGAACTTAAGAGATCGGAAGATTTTAATCGAAGTTCTGTAAGCAGTACTTTTTCAATGTTTAATCCAAATGAAGAACTAAAAACATTCTTTTAAAATGATTTTTTGGAGAGGAAGAGATGCACTCAATAAGGATATAATGATATCATGAAATAAGTAAGTTATATATTAATGAATAAATAGTCGTCAATAAATTCATCCTAAGAATACAACTAACATCATAGTAAATACTTAAATGCGAGTTAAATTGAAGATCAATAAAATTATAGTAAAAATTTATATAGTCCTCAATAATATTAAATTGTTGATAAATCTAATGTATTCAATAATAATCGATTGAGCGTAACCAGAATACTAAATAATTCATAAATATGAAAATATATTCGTTTTTTTATTCTTATGAAATTATTATTAATAGGACTTTTAGTGTTAGGAAATACATAATGGATTACATCATATGAGGCATTTCAAAATGAGGAGTTTGACTCTTTGGATGGTAAAAGGAAAATTAATGTAAAGGTTGGGTGATTTAAAATTAATTTGAAGCAACAACAGAAATAATAACAAAATGTAGCGGTAAAAATATAGTTGGAGGATTGAAGACTTTTGGTACAAAAAGTACAGCTACAAAATTAACAAAAATATCACCTCATTATAAATTGAAATTGAATATTGAATTATGGAAGTATTGAAATAGTGATATAATGTTTATAGAATAGGAGAATGGGAAAATGATATATTTACAGTTTATGTAGATGGTGTACCTTGGGAAATGAAATGGGGATATACAGAAGGAGGAATTCGTTTATGTGGTGGAGGTGAATAAAAAAACAGTGATAAAGTTTTTGATATTGAATTTGAAATTCCACATAATTCTTCAACAGTAACAACAGTTTTGGCTACTAGTTCTTAAGGAAAAGCTGATGTATAAGCATGGGGATTTAGATAAATAAAAATATCATTTATCCCATGTCCATCAGAATGTGGGATATGTCATAATGATAAAGTTTAAGAATGTAAAAACTGGAACTAAGAGGCTTTGAGTTGGTTTCATTTAGATACTAAATTAGAAGGATGGTAATTAGAGAATGGAAAGCCAAAAGGATATGAATGTTCTGGTATTGTTGTATTTGGAGGATATGAAAATATTGGTGCTAAAGCATTATTATCAAATACAATTACAAATATAGTGCCTCATAGTAAAGTTATGGTCAAATTTACATTTTGGAAGGTAACACATTATAATTATTAGATTGATTTTTGGGATAATGAAGAATTTTATGTTAAAATTGATGATAAATAAGTATAAAAATTGGCTTTTTAAAAAACTGATGGAATAGATTTATGTGGAGCGTAAATTAAATAAATATTATAGTAAGTAAACAAACTCTGGTTATGGAGAAAAAATTGTATCTATTGAGATCATATAAAAACATTCAAGTCCCACATTGATTATATCTTTCAGTTCATCATTAAAAAATGATCCTGATGAATAGTCATGGGGAATTCGTGATTTCTTTTTGTTTGCTGCGTAATGTACAAAGTTTTGTGATGAATGTGTTGGAACTGCAGAAAATGAATGTACTAAATGTTCAGATACACATACATTATAGGATGGTAAATGTATTAATAAGAATGAATGGTATATTTTATCAAAAGAATTCTTTACAGATGATGAATTTAAAAAATTAGATGGATGGACATTTTAAGATATTGATCCTGCTGGACCAAATCCTCCAGTAACAAAATGTGGAGATTTAGGGTTAGTTGGTGGATATTAATCTTTTGGAAAAGTAATTATTATAAAATATAAATAATTTTAGAAAGCAACAGTTTAAAAGGTATTTAAAATACCAAAACATGATTTTATTAGAATTAAAGCAACTGTTTATAAAATTGATGAATGGGATGGAGAAGAATTAACTATGTTTGTTGATAACAATGAATTCTGGACTTAATTTTTAGGATGGAATGATCCAGGATAAAGTAATGTTTGTGGCAGAACAGATGGAAATTGGAAAGAAAGAATAATTAGTATAGATAAAATAATTTCTCATACACAATCAGAACTTACAGTTGATTTTAAGAGTACACTTTAAAAAACTGCAAATGATGCTTCTTGGGGATTTAGGGACTTTTTACTATTGTATTCACCATTAAAAGAATGCATTGAAGTCTTTAGTGAATGCAATTATTAAGGTTAATCTTCTAAAATTTGTGATAATATAGAGTCATTAAAAGATGTAGAAAGTTTATTTTATGTAGACTTAAATAGAATTTGATATAAAATCTATGAAAATTCCAGAAGGCTTGAAAATTACAGGATTTAAAAGCTTAGGATTTAAAGGAGATAGAGTTGAATATGAAACAAATTAAGTATGTATTGACAAGATAGAATTCTCGTTAATTTAAAAGTAATTGACTGGTAATTTGAAATATATAAATAAATGAATAATTAATATGAAAATAATCCTAATTTTTGGGGAAAGTTTTCATTTGCTGGAGGACCAACTCAACTTCCTAGATAAATATTACATAAATTGGAAAAAGAATTTATTTAACCTAATGGTAAATCAATATTAGAAATATCAAAATATGATCATGAATATCATCAAATTTTAGATAAAGCTATTAATGATTTATAATGTCTTTTAAATGTAATTTTATAATATCATTTCTATTAAAGATTCCAAACCAATATAAAATTATCTTTTGTTAAGGTGGAGCATCCCTTTTATTTGAAGCAATCCCTATGAATTTATTAAAAACATAAAATACTTCTTGCACCTATACTAACACTGGATATTGGTCAGAAAAAGCATTAGATGAAGCTAAGAAATTCTGTTAAAATGTAAATATTGCCACCAATATTGCTGTATAATATGAAATTAATTGAAGTATGATGAATTTGGTAAAAGATTTGTTCCTAACATTGATTAATGGAATATAAATTAAGATAACTCCTATCTTCATTATTGTGATAATGAAACTGTTGAAGGATTAGAATATTAATTTATTCCAAAATTTGGAAGAACTCCTATTATTACAGACATGAGTTCCAATTTTTTGACTAAGTAATATAATTTTTTTATTGAGGCCTTTGGATTGGAATAAATTAGACTTTGTTTATGCACATGCATAAAAGAATATTGGAATAGCAGGTTCAACATTAATGATTTTAAAACCTGAATTAATACAAAACAATCATAATATTCCTTATATGTGGGATTTTAAGGAAATGCTTAATAAATAATCATTAATTAGTAATCTTCCAATCTTTCCAATATATGTCAATACTTTGGTTTTTGATTGGATCAAAAATTAAGGAACTCTTGAATCCTGGGATCAACATTGCAAATAAAGATCTCAATAAATATATCAAATTATTGATAATAGTCATGGAGTTTTTATTAATAATGTGAAAAAAGAACAAAGATCAAGAATTAATGTCACTTTTACTTTAAAAGATGAAAATTAAACAAATCGATTTATTGATTTATGCAAAGATAATGATATTATTGAAGTGAAAGGTCATCGAGCTATAGGTGGATGTAGAATATGTTTATATATGCCTATTCCTTAAATCGCTATAAATAAATTATGTACAATTATGGAAGAATTTATGAGTTGATCAATATCTATTCGTTATTGTTGTAAATATATTATCATTAGAATAAAGATCAATTTATTTTTATCTACTTTTACTTAGTTGCTCCTATTCTTTATTTCCTGTATTTTAATTCACTTTTTGTTATAAAACTTCATTTTGAAAAGTATTCTTTTTTAAACTTCTATTTTTTTTTTAAACAACTTAACTTTCAATTGAATGTTAAATATAAGCCTTTTTTGGAATTTTATCTCTTATATTTAGATGCTAACTGAATTTTCTTGATTTTATATAAGGGGATTCCTATCTATATAATTGATTTCGCTCTGTTTTGAATCCATACTCATCTAACATCAGACTATCTGTCTATACAAATTTTGAGTTTGTGACTTTCAAAATCTCATCAAGTGGCTTTTTTTCAGAGTTTTCATCTCTTTTTAAAAATAAGGTTATTGCTTTTTTATTCAAACTTATAGATCCTGTTTTAGACATAATCTCTTGAAAATGTCTTATAGATCGAGAAAATGAAAAAATTCTTTAGGGCTACTCAAATACTTATTTCACAATTTCATGTTAATGATAACATTAAAATCTCTTCTTCTTATTATTATTATTTAACAAGATCTAGAGTTTATTTTTTCTTTATGAGATAGCTTCTTAATCAAAATCAAAAATCATTAAATTATATTACACGTTATTTAAAGTTCATTTCGTATTGTATTGATATAGTTCTTAATATTAACTTATAAACTTAAAAATAATTATTTCGAGATTCTTAATTGATGAAATGATAAAAGTAGAATAATTTCTAAATAAAAAATCAAGATTAAATTTTATAGATTTATATATTGAAAAATAAAGCAAAAATCATAAAAAAATTGATAAAATAATTATTATTCTATTAACTATGAATTTAGATATAAAATAATTAGATAATTGTGAATAAAGGATAATTATTAGTACAGAAAATTGTAATGTAATTGAATTCGAAGATAAAAATAAATAATAAAAATTTTGCATAATTCATGGAAGAATAAATTAAAATGTGTAATTTAAACAAGAATTATTTAATAAAATTCGATTGAATAAATGCTTTAACTTAATCTAAATTATTAACTAAATAAAAAAAGATAATGAATTATATATCTAGATAGATGAATGTGATTTATCTTTATTTTAATATATGGAAGATAGAAAATCTTATCAATTTTCACCGGAAGAAATATATGATATATTAAGTTAGATAATAAATGGATATTTATACATATCCTAATTTGGAAAAAGACTTTTCAAATTAAATCCACATAATATTTTAGTTAAGAAATTACAAAACTAAAAAATAATAATAAAAATATTTATTAATTTTTTTGAATGTAGTTCTGTCAATTAATAAGCACCCTCTATATTTACACATTATAGGGCTCCAGAAGAAATGAATTAATCAGCATAAGTTTCTGAATAAACTGATATTTATTTGGTAAATAATTGAATAAACAATAGCTTGGAATATTATTACATCAATTATGTTTCTAAATGAAAAAACCTTCAGATGGAATTTAAAATTTTAACGATCTTAAATAATTTTAATAAACTTTACTCAAATAACAACTCTAAAATAGATTAGCTTAACATAATGAAGTTGATTAATATTTAAAAAATTTTATAGATAAAATGATAGAGATCAATTAAAATGATCGAATTACATGGAAATAATTATCAACCCACAATAAATTACAATAAAGTTTTATCTTATTAAAAAATAAATATTATTTAGATAAGAATAAATAGCTTGGAAAAGGTGCATAAGGTGTTACGTATTAAGTTGAAGATATAGAAACAAAAGAGTTATTTTGTGCTAAGTAAATTAACACTACTTAAATTGAAGGTAAAAGAGAAGAAGAAATTTATTATTAAATAAAGGAATAACAGAATCATTAAAATATAATAAGAATTTTTGATATAATTCCAACTGAAAATATATAACAAACATTTATAATTATGGAGAAATGCGATTAGAATATTGAGGAATATTATTAATAAAAAAGAAAAAATTTATCTTATGAAGAAATACTCGATTTGTTAAGTTAGATTGCTTATGGATATAAATTTTTAAAAGATTTACAGATTATTCATCGAGATTTAAAACCTGAAAACATTCTTATCAAATATGAAAATTAAAAACCAATTTTTAAAGTATTCAGATTATAAAATCTTAGATAATTGATTTTGGTGTTGGAAGAATCATTGATTAATAAATGGCAGTAACTATAGCAGGAACTCCGATTTTTTCAGCCCCAGAAGTTATTCAAGGAAACTAATATGATTATTCATGTGATATTTTTTCTGTATTTTATTTTTATTATCTAGCTTGGAACAATGCTTTTTTATCTTATTTATGGAAATTATTATTTGAATGTTTTATCTATTGAAGATTTAAAAGAAAAGCAACAATCATTTGAACGTCAGCCTTTTTAATGTCCAAAGGATAATATTTCAAAGATTGTTAATCCTTTTTTAATAAATTTAATTGAATAAATGATGATTTATAAACCAAGTAACAGAATAACTTGGGAAGAATTAATCTAATAATTGGAATAATAATAAAAAAATAAAAAGAAAATAGAAATTAATTCCATTCAAGATTATAACAATCAATCATATAATTACTAATAATAATATATAAATTAAAATAATGATATTCAAATATATAGTTAATAATAATAAAATCATTATTAAGTCTTTTAAAATCAAAATTAAAATTTTATTTAATATCAACACGATGAGAAAAGTTAACATGAATACTATCCAAACTATTAATAAAATTAATTCAAGGTTGATTAATCAAGTAATTATTAAATCTAATTTATTGAAATTGAAAATTCTCAGAATTATCAAGAATATAAGCAAAATTAAAATTTAAATTAATCTTAAAATCCTTATTCGAATTCATAAAATTACATTCATAATTAGGAAGATAAAAACTAGGATTATTTGTTTTTTAATTAAAACTCAAATAATTAAATAAATCAACTTCATAACAAAGATATTTTATTTAATTAGAATTAATAAACTTCATTTTAGAATTATGAAATTAAATTTTAGAATTAGGAAACTTAAATTTAGAATTAGGAAATTTAATTATTCAGTTCAGAAGATAAAAAAATTAAGGTTGACACTCCTAAATAAATTTGTTTTGAATACCAAGATAAACAGTTAAATATTTTAGATTTAATTGATTTAAACAATTAAAAGTCAGGTGACGAAATATAAAAATAATTTCAATAATAATAATAATAGTAATAATAATAATAACAATAATCATAATATTAAAAAAATGAAAAAATTGATGAGCTAGAGTTATAAAATTAATCAAATAATATAAAAATTGACTCAATTAATAATGAAGAAAATTAAGATTTTGAAAAATAAACTTAAAGTTCATTGAGTTCCTCAAGAAGTTGGATAAATGATAATCAAATAATTATAAAAAGGATAGAACAAAATGATGATGAAATGAATGTTATTTTGTACATGTTTTGTTTGTTTGCTACGATATAAAATTCGATTGCAAAATTGGAATTAATAGATCATTAAGATTTAAGAATAGTTTTAGAATTTTTTATCAGAAAGTGCCAGATATCTTGTTTAGAGAGTTTCAAAGTTTTAAAAGAAAAGAACTATATATTTTTTGAAGCAGAACCATTATATGGAGATGAAAAAAGTCTTTTATAAGAAATTAGCATAGAAGATTTAAATGATTAAATAGAATAGATTAAATCTAAAATCTAATTGAAAGAAGTAGAAAAAAATGTAAAAAATAAAACAATAAGAAGTAAATTTTTATTCTTAAATCTCTTGTTAACAAAATAATAAAAAGTTTAACTAATAACTTGTTAGAATATAATAGTATATATTTAAGAAATTATTACATATTTTCACATGATCAAACTGTAGGAGGAAGCAAAAAAATCTATAGAAAAAGTGATAGATTTTTACATAAAATTTCCTGTAAGTAACATGAAAAAACTTAATAAGAAGGATATGATAGATTAAAAATGATTATTAAAATATATTATTTATAATGTTGCATATAAACAAAAACAAATCATAAATGTTGATTAATAATGAGATGATTGATTAATGAGCTTAATTTTAGAGGGCCTGATATATTAAAATCATGAATTAGTATTTGTTCTTCTAATAATTCTAAAATCCTAAATAGACTTAAAGTAATAAATGATTTGATTTTTTTCTTAAATTAGTAAGGGCAGTAGGGAGATTTCAAATATATTAGACTGACCGTTTTTTGGTTAATTTTATACTTTAACATTATTTTAATATCAATTTTCTGGTTTAACTCTATAATAAAAGATTTAATATGCTTAGAGTCTATTTATAGATTTTGAAATTAATGAGATAGAATAAAATGATTGAGAATATAATCAGATAAATACTTGCAGATATAATTAAAAATGTATTGATAATTAAATGATTCAATTTAGTATATAGCCAAATCTGTATTCCAATAGGTTTAAATATTTAAAGAGAGTTTAATATCGTTAATTAATATATTTATAATTCTAACTTAAAATACTGTTTCTAAGAATGAAAATTAAGGAGTATAATTGTAATTTAGTTATTTGAATAGAAATTCTAATAGAGTGAGTTAATTTATAGTTAAGGTATTATTTGAAGATATTTCGAGAAAAATAAAACTAAAATTATTAATAGATTATTTAAAATTATAATGATTTTGTGAATGAATTAAATTTAATATCATTGATCAGTTATCTTTTTTATTCTATGGTAGAATGATATGCTTTTCACTTTTATATTTCATTAAAGTATTTATCAATCTTGTATCTTCTTCTGGATCAGGAGATGCACAGGGCTACTTTTCGTATTCTTTATAAAATGATTGGTACTTTCTTTATAAGAGAGTTTAATTTAAATCAAAGCCATTTACCTATGGAGGTCTAGTTGTAAGTGCTATATTTAAATGAAAAAAGAATCCGAACACTACTCTTAGATTAGCTATCATAAATATAAAATATGCTGAAGGAATTATATGAGTTGTATATTATGTTTCATAGTATTCTCTAGCTAATGAATAGAATGTACCAATACAAATAAAGGATGGTAAATCTATTAATAAAGCCTATAGTAACTCTTAAATTTATCTACTATTTAAAAGGTAATTCTTCACTTATATTCCTATCTATGGACAATATTATCTTAGAATATTCTCCAAAACATAATTATGCTCACTCATCTTCCATATATAAGAAAATAAAGTAGCTTAATCAGCATCCAAATTTTTCAATAAATTATACATATTTATGTAATTAGTGTAAATTACTAATGTTAATTTTGTTATTGCAATTGAAAAAAGAACAAACATTTGAACAAAAAACTTTTACTATAATTCTTTCATTTAGTTTTATTCTTTTAAGTATTCAATAAAACTTCCACAAAGTCCAATCACTTAAAATTCAAAATAATAGTCTGCTTAAATAAACAACAGTATTAAAAATTAAAATAATTCCTATCTGTGAGGATAACTATGTATTTAAGATTTCTTCTCTTCAAATGTTCTTATGCAGTAATCTGGCACTGCCTTAACTCTTATTTTTATTGCAACATATAAATTAACCACCTATATATATAAAATCAACAGAAAATATATTAAACTTATTAATGTTCTATGTTCATTATATGTTGAAAAATAACATGGATTCGAATTTTCACAATCAATCTTTACTTCTTTTGGATCTACTATGTAATCTTAATAAAATGCAATAATTAGACTTACTATTACTTATATTGGCACCCAAATTACCTAAATTATACAATAATGTCGTATAGAAACCTTATTTTACCTCAAAAATTTATACAATGAACTACTTAATTTAAAATCTGTATATTAATAAAGCTTTTTATTAATTATTTAAATTATCCATTTTACACTGTTATTTCTTTTTAATATATACATCTTTAGCTTTATTAATAAATAATATAATATTCCATCATCAAAGATATTTATTATCCTCTATTAATTGTCTATCTTACCATATATTAAATTATATTCCATAAATTATTCATTGATCATGCTTATGTACATATGCATTTTACCAACACTAGTGCTAAATTTAGTACTACCTGAAAAATCAATATATTCCAAATATTTAAAATTAAAATATTTTGTACCAAACCATATTAAAAAATTATCTGTTAAGTTTGAATCTCTTATTATCAAATTTTTTAAATAATCAGGAGTAATTTTTATATGATAATTCACACTATAGAGAATATATGATTCAATTATTTAAATTGCTAATTCTTCTGATATTTATGTCCATGTGTTATATATGTATAAACCTTTATTATTTTTTAAGAAATTTAATAAATCTTAAGTTCCTAAGGCTTTATTATTATCAATTATAAGTAACTTAAAATGGGATAATTTCAAATCAAAATTATTTTACAATATTGTATTCTCAATTTAATTACTAATATATTTTAATAATATTTATACTTAGATATTGTTAATTTTTCTAATTAACTTCTATTTAATAAAATAATATTAAATAATTTATAAAATCCATCAGATGTTATATTATTTTTATCCAACGATAATTCTTTTAATTTTACTTAATTCAAAAGCAATTATTGAAGTTATTCACAATGAGAATCTTCAAATTAGCATTCATTAAATATTAATTTTGTAACATTTTATAAAATTGAATTAGGTCTAATCCTATTGATTACTAATTCTAAATTAGTTTGTTGATACTTTACTCGTGATAAGTCAAGTGTAGTTAAATTAAAGAACAATAAGTCATTAGGTTCTTCTTAAGAAAAATTAATTAAAAAATCAAATTTATAATCAGGGTGAATTCTAATTTGTGCTTTCTTTTTTGTTTTAGAGAATTTCAGCTTCTCAATCTAAGTTATCTTGTTTTAAAAAATTGAAAAGAAATAGTAATAAGTTTATTAAGTGATATTATTTCTTGATAAATCAATCTATTTTATAGTTTTATTATTCATTAAAGATTCAATCAAAAATTTACTCTTTTCATCATTTAATTTAATATTTGCAATGTTTAGAATTTATAAACTATTATTTAGAGTAATACCTTCACATAGGATTTCAAATTTACGTTTATTAATCCTATTTTCACTAACATCCAATTCTATGAGTTTATTAGATTATCTTAAGATTTATTTTAAAATCTAAAAAAATTCAATTGATAAAGTGGATTTTTGAATGATTAGGTATTAAAGATTTCTTAATATCTTAATCTGAACCAATTCTTAAAATGCATTAAGAAGTATACTACTCTCAATAACTTAGTATTCTAGAATCAAAGATGTTAAATATTTTGTATATTTCATTCCTTATAACAAATGATATAAGTAATTATGAGATATTAAAGTATTTGATATTTCAATAAGTTTTAATGTGTGTTCATTTTATTTCAATACTTATTGTAAATTTTGATACGATTCTAATCGACATTACATTTTATTTATAGTCAATGAACTTATTGTTTTGTTATCTGATAAAGCAGTAAAGTTGTTCATATAATCAATTGATTAGTTCATACTAATATCTAAAATCTTAAAAGAATAAATGTCAGATATAATGTCAGATATTATCAATAAATCATCAGCAGTTAGTTTTAGATTAGACAGTAACAATTATGGAAATTTTAAATGCATTTTTTGTAAATATACTTTGATACTTAACAAAGTTTAGCCATGTATCCAATTTTTAGACATGTCAACACATTATAAATTTCGATTTTTAAATAAAAGTGGTAATTTTCTGATTGTCAGTTCATTTTCATCAATCAAATTATTACTTATATTTAAGACTTTTAAAGAACAACAATTAGATATTCCATTTATTAGATATAAGATAGCATTTTTCAATTTATTATTTGATATATCTAAATTTATTAGAGTTGAATTCTTTGACAAAGCACAATTTAAACAATCAAATGATGATGAGTTTAAATCACCTAAATTATTATGAGCAATTAATAATGTAGTTAAAGTGTATGTCTTTTCTATTAATTAACTCAATCTTTCAATTAATTTTGGTTCATTTAAATGACAAGAATTCAAATTTAAGTATTCAATTCTATTATATTACTTACTTAATGATTCTAAAACTGGATACATGATAAGAGGATTAAAACTAAAATCTAATTCTCTTAAATTAGCACATTTAATTTCAAAACAATCCTACTTACCACTCTATATTTCATTATCATCATTTATTAATTAAGATAATAACAGAGTTTTCAATTTAGATTCTTTCATCATAGATATGAATGTATACACAATATCATATCTTAATTAATTTAGTGAAACATCTAAATATTATAATCTAATTTATTCATGATTGAACACATAAACTAAAATGCCTTCTCCATCTATTTAATTTTTAGAGACTGATAAACTAATTAATGATATATTTTCAATCAATGCATAAACAATTGATATAAAACCCTTAGTCTTAATTTTGTTATTACTTAAATCTAGATATGCCCATTAGACAATGTTACAACATAATACTTAACTAATCTAGTAAGCACCTTCAGTATCAATCAGATTATTAGATAGATTAAGATACATAACATTTAGGAAAAAATTGTTAGGTATTTCTTCTATTCTATTAAATGATAAATCAATTTTTAATAATTTTAATGTTAAAACATTTTGATTTTGAAATTCTATAATTTTATTATGTGAAAGGTATAATTCCTCTAATTAAATTTTAAGGATGATCTATTCTAAAAAGTCAGTTTAAGAAATTTAATTTCCATTTAAATTCAGAGATTTAATCTTAATAAGTCTGACTGACATAAATAATGCTCTTGCTAATAATGCAATTCCATCACTTTTAATTTAATTATATGAAATATCTAAATAATCTAAACTAAATTTTCCTGTATAATTTAACATCATACTAGATAAAGCAATAATTCCTTCATAATTTAAATTCATCAAAGATAATTTAAGACGTCTTGCTTTTATTATTTATTAATTACCTCAAAGAACTCAAGTTTTGTGTTTTATCCATTATCTAAGCTAATAATGAGTTCTCAATATTACAATGTGATAAATTTATTTCTTATAAGAAGTTTTTACCTCCCAAAACATATCTACAAAAGTCCTAAACCACTTAAGTAGTAAATGCTTAATTGTTGAATAGATTCAAAATTTTCAAACTTGTATGATCAATCATCTATGATAAATAAGTAGATATTACTGCCTTAAAAATACAACTTAATCCAAATGAATTGATTTTACAGTCACCCAAATTTAAAATCTAAATATTCTTGTTTTTTTAAATCAAACCACTAATTTCAATTGCATAATAGACATTAATATTACATCCAGATAAATTAACTTCACTATTTAGATTTTCAAAGAATACATCACTCTATTATTAATACTTAAAGTGTTGCATAAAGTAGTAAAACATGTTAAAGCACCTCTATTAATATGATAAGCTGCTTCTTCTGAGTTTCTATCAGATTCTCTATTCATTTTCATGATGAGTTTTTAGATTATCCATCTAAAATTATTCTAGGTTTATGGTGCATTAATTTATACTA